CCATCATGATGCAGACAAATAACCCAACGATAACATTATTCAATCCTAACCCAATTTCAACCATTAATCTCAAACTATGTTACTACCACTTATATCCAACACATTCAAACATAAATATCAAAGATATAACTTTCTAAATATACTCCAAGTACATGAAAAACTGACAAAATATAAAGATATAACTTTCTAAATTTATCCTCCAAGTATATGGAAAATTGGCATACATAGAACATGTTATAACTATGTTTAGGTCAAGCTTGTGGTTATAAGTTAAAACACCTTATGGCAAAGAATGTCATCAAATTTATGACACCTTTCTGCAGTGAGAAAAACCCCATTACAACCAAATGAAAAGAATCCTGCAATGTAGTTTTACGCCACCAGACATTATAACACAAAAAACACACTCCGATATTTAGCACTCTCCCACACCTACAAAACCGCAGGCTGCCTTTTTTCCCCCGTTCTAAACTCTCTGAAACAGCCCAAAACAGATTGCAACAGTTTCTAGGAATAACATACGGTAAATAGACGAGAAAATTAATTTCTATGCACATTCAAATTCAATTGCCTTCAAGCAAGCTCTTCAGCCTATTCCTAGCCTCCTCAGATATATTGCAGCTCCTAAACCTTCGTCGTTGGGGAGGGCATGACTCAACACGAGCAGGGGTAGAAAAGCAGATAACGATTGCAGTGAGGTTATCTGATGAATTCAAACGTGTTGCTTCACAGACTAATTCTCTGGCACATTCTTCAGGGTCATCATGTCGTCTTAGAGCTCGGCGAACCAGGCTGACGGCAAACTGGCTTGACATGACATCCCAAATGCCATCACAACCAATGATCAAAAATTCATCATCCTCTGATAATACAATCTGTCTAACATCTGGCTCTGCAATCAGAGGCGATGCCGATCCGAGAGGGAATTTCATGTCCCAATCTCCAAGAGCTCTTGTGACCGAAAGATAACCATTAAGATACCCATCATCAATGTAGCCACCCAATTCCTCAACTCGCTTGCGCTCTGGCAAGTAAGATGGTCTATGGTCTTGGGACATTTCAACAGCGGTACCTTTACGGCAAAGGACAGCTCTGCAATCACCAGCATTTGCAACTAGCAAATGCCTTCCAAGTACAAGAGCAGTCAGCACTGTTGTTCCACAAGAACTGCTAACACTGCTTTCAGCAGCCAAGGCAAGGTCCGCCAGCAAAAATGCCTTCCTATGAGAATCCTCCAAAGCTTTCAAGAAAACAGCATCGATATCAGCTACCTGTGGAAAATCAAAATCTTCCAAAAATAACCTCGTAGCATTACTCTTGATATAAGCAGCTGCGTCAGCACCACCATGACCATCAAAAACAGCATAAAAAGCACTTGGCATCAAAGGATTAAAGATAGAACCCAGATGAGAAGATAGATCATCAATCCTTATGTGTTCGTCCTCCATAGATCTCCTAGGACCAATATCCACACAACTGCCAGATCTAATTCTTGGCACAAATTTGACAACAGATGTCTCAATAACAGCATCTCCAATGGTCTCAGCACAAGCTGCAACCTACACAAAGAATAGGAAAAAAGGTAAGCCATGTTCTTACACACATAAAACCAAACTAAGATTTTTCACATATGCTAGTCAGATTCATAAAAAAACAAGAATAAATCATCCAAAAACTAGAAAACCCATGAAAAGCCAGTGGTTGAACTTTGGATCTATGCCAGTTAGCAAAGCATGAACACGTTTATTTGCCCCTAATTGAAAAGAAGCATAATTCATTCATAAACCACAATACCCATGAAAAATCTACGCTTGAACTTCGGATCTATGCTAGCTAGCAAAGCAGGAACATTTTCCCTCTTTTTCTTGCTAACCCTAATTGAAATCCAGTAATTTCAAATTGCCCACCAAAAAAGGTAGAATTGAAGTGTACAATTATGGATGGAATTCACAACAAATCATTAAAAACCCCAAAACTTAAGGGTTGGAAATATCTTTTTTCATCAACCCAATAAAAAAGATCCAAACCCTAGCAACGTCTGATCAAAAGAATTTACCATAACAGAATTCCACCCAATAATTTCACAATAAAAACGAACGGTAATTCAAGGAAATAAAGAAGAAAAAGGTTTAAACAAAAACTCACCGAATCGAAGCGAGAAACCTGGGTAGAAATGGACATTACATCAACAGCTTGGTGACGAAAAATGATATCGGCTTCGGCTCCCATATTAGAACTAACAATCATTTCTAATAACAAAGACAAGTCGGACAAATTCCGTCCACTCGATGAACAAAACCCTGCGACTTTATTTCCTTTTTCTTAAAGAATATCAAAAGAACACTTTTCAAGGGTTTAGCCAAGATGGAAAGTCGTGTGCTCGATATTCTTCTTTTATTTATAGATATTATATGGTAAGTCCATATGAAAAACGGGATTAGTCGGTAATTGTGACCGGCACGTGTGGGTGGGTTTTTAGATGGAGTGGGGACTCAATGGATGTTTTAAACCTGCCGTGAATGAATGAAATGACGGATTTACCCTTATTACTGTTAACTTTTGCGCCTGATTGGAGAGCATTGAGGAGTTGACTCTTTTGCTTTCACAGTCTGTCGGATAATAATTATTACAAATTTATAATAGATACAATTATTTATTTAATTTTTAAATATTTGCTGTAAAAAGATAAATAATAACTTTTAATTTAAAAAGATAATTGGTTTATAATATCGTGGAATATATCAAATTTTTTATACAATTTTTTTCTTCTTCATGTATTTGAACTTTTCATTATTTTTATTTTTAATGTTTATTAAATAAGTCGTGCTATAAACTTTTTATACCAAAACCTATGTTGTTTAGATATTTTGTATTTCTGGTGTCTAGATATTTATTTATTTTTGTTAATTTTCACCTTGTTCAAAGCCAACCACCAAATTATGAAAAAGGAGATTGAATAAAAGCATAAACGTGTCCCCTTGGAATTCCAGTAGAGGAGGTGGAAGGTTGAAGCACACACCAGAGGTGATGACATGATAGGCTATATATTTATTTCTACTTTTTAGCAATCACTACCATTCGAGTGGGGGCTCACTTACCTTATTTTACAAACCCAACATTCTACCTATCATCTTCTTCCACCCTTTATTGTTAATCCATTGAACCCATGCCACGACCAATCCTTTCATACGTCAATGGTGTTGGAAATATATAGAGTCAAAACACCATTTCATTTTAAACTCATCCATATGTCATATGTCAACTGATTGAGAATAGTGTGATGATATCATGTCTGATTTCTATCTCCATGAAGGCATGAACGAGGCTAGGATACTGACTCAGGAGAGATAAAATATAGTTAACAATAAAAAAAATGGAGGACAACCCAAACGGTTTCAATAGTGAAGAAAATGATGATCTCTTTAAAAATTCTGAATTCCAATAGCAATGTCGGTAAGATGTATGTGTTGAATTTGGTGATAGAGTTTGAAGGCAACTGAAAACTTTAAAAGATTTAGAGATTTAAATTAAATTTTTAAAATTTTTTGAAGGGCTTCGTTTACACAATTTTTTCTTCAGAAATTAGGGCCTAATTAGAATTTTTGAAATTTTAAGAGGCTTAAAGAGAATTTTTAAAAATTATGGGAGGGATTTAATTAATAACATTAAAAAATTAAAAAATTTTAATATGAATTTCTAAATTTTTTTGGAGACAAATTAAATTTTTTAAAAATTTAAAGGGTCTAAATTATATATATTTTTTTAAAAATTTTGAAAGGTCATGGCATTCACTAGTCTTTTTTGTGTTCCGCCACTAGTTGTCAATAGGTTAAAAAAGTTTTAAACATATATTGTACTACGTTGTAATCACTATATATTATTAAAAAAGAAAATGGAGGGGTAAAATATAGTTAATAAAAAAAAGGTAGAGAAATCAAAATAAACCAAAATTTAAAAGTCTAAATAGGTATTTATTTCTATAATTTCGTCCTTGCTTATATCATCATTCATAGGTTCGCAACCAATAAAATTTGTTTATTTTAACATTTTGTTTTTAAGGGGATAGTTTTTTCAATGATAAATCTTTATTTTTTAAAGTAAAAATACAGTGAGCGAATATTTGAAAGTTAATTATAAATGGATAGAGAACGTAAAACAAAATGATGAAGTGTACGAGATTATGAATAACGTGGTGAGGAGGGTTTATGAAATAATTTCTCATTATTCAATTTTGTAGGATGTAAAAAGATAACAAATCACACTCACACGTTTCACTGTCAATAAAATGATCAAAATATTCAAATCCAACATGCTTTAATTTGATTTAATTATATAATGTCAACTTGTTTTAAAAAAAATTGAATTCAAAGCAGATCAAGATGAAGTCGGATTTAAGATTAAAATACCCAAATTGACCTATATAATTATTATAATCTCTCGTTATATATTCAAGCATAATTATTATAGTCCCTATCTATATATGTTTTTCAATGATTTCCCTATCTCGCCTAATAAAAATAGAGAAAAAAATGTTGGGTCGAGGAAAACTTGTTGTCCCAAAACTTAGGACGAGGGGAGTATTACCACCATTACTAGATGATTGCATTCAGGGACAGAATTATGACAAAATTATAAAGATCCAATTATTTAACTTTAAAATTGAAAGAGATTTAAGAAGTGAAGACCAAGATCAATTTGCTCGATTTTAGAATTAATAGGGACTTAAAACGTAATTAAGCTAAAAAATTGAAAACTATGACTTAGTTATATTGATTTCAATACTAATCGTCCCTTAAAGAGTAATTGAACAAGGAAAGTTAGGAAGGTGTATCCAATTCTACCATCTACACCAGATGCATGCATGGGCATGGGCATGATTAGACAGCTTCCCCCTTTTAAGGCTATCCCTATCCATATAATTTGGCTGTTAGCACAAGGAATAGAAAAAAAAGCATAGTTGAAGAGTTCATATACATGAATGATCATTCAATTTCAAGTTCCTATAAGCACAAAAACAGTTTCCCGGATCCTATTTCTACGTATGCCAAAGAATTAACAAATGAACAAATAACATTACACAAGATAGGTTTCGTGTTACACAAGTAAACCGAGATTCGAGTCGCTCGAAATCTTGTAAAGACATGGTGACATAACTGCATATATCATCACTCCCTCAAGAGCACGGTTAAATGCTTGGTTCCTCGCAGCAGTGGGCCTCGTGCTCTTTCTGCAACTTATCCCAAAGGCATAACACCATCCTCGGGCCTTGATAGTGCGCCAGGATGTAATTCGATTCACAACCGGCATTGTAGAATCTATCATCGGTCATGTAGTGCACTTCTCGACCCCTTCTTTGAATTCTTCGATCCATATACCCATTGCGACATCTTCTAGTTTGAAAAGCTGTCAAGGGAAAACTGTTATGAATATAAAGACACTTCTATGGATATGGTGTCCATGGTCTTTCTTCTCAAAGGTATTTCGGACTTCCGGTACAAATGTCCGATGCAACTAACCCTACCTTGCTTAATGTTTCAACTATAATTGCATTAACAAAAACTAAATGTTATCTAAGTTTATTGAATTTCCGAGATTGAATCATTTGGAACATATTTCGATAAGTAATGCCAGTTCCCCCTACTGATCTCCGAATTTGTACATATGGTAGTCATCAAAGTTGGTCATGCTCTTACCTTGAGTTCTCTTTCTTGGTGCTTTTGGACGATGAACTTTGCAATGTCTCGAGAGATGATATAACCCGGACCATGGGCCCATGGCGGATACGAAGAATGTGGCCATTCCTATGAAATAAGTATTCATTGAAAGTGTACTCAGAGGTGACTAAAATACGATTAAAGTTCGACTGAGACAAATACCTCGTCACTGATATACCATTTGCTGTCTTTTTCCCTATGAGGAGATGATTCGAACTCTATAAGGCCATATAACAGGCCATTGGATGGCCTTTCCTTGAGGCTGGAGAGAACTTCATCAATCCTGACAAAGGCATCATCATCTGTTTTCATGATATATTTTGCAGGGAGGATCTTAGTCTGCATAACGGATTAAAGTCAAAAGGAGAACATATATATTGATTAGCCAATGTAAAATTCATTGTCATTAATATAAGACATAAAAAGAAGATATTTTCCATCCTTGCTTCAGGATACGGTGAAGCACTGCCGGAAAATCACTAGGTCCTACCCCATCCACTAGTGAAACAGAACATAGAAATTGTTTTAAGATATTAGTTTTATTTACCACTGTTTAGTAGCTTCCTAAGTGTGCTATGCTTCATTCTATGAACCCTATGACGTAATACCAACAACAATTAAAGACGGAAACAAGCCTTTACGGTCCACACGAATTAGAACTTAAATAAAGTGTATATCAACTTACCCCCATAATGCAAATTGCAATAGTTTTCAAACTGATCAGGCTATAGTAATCAACAAAGGGCATAAATTGGATGTCTCCATATGCTTGAGCTTCTTTCCACAGCTCGAAGTTGACTTGTAAGTTCTTATTCTGCAGGTACAATGTACAAAAATTATCAACTCAGTCGGAAAACAGATTCGCTTGCAGTCAACATTGTTAATGAAGCACTTTAGTAGAATGAGCCATGTACCTAGGAAGCCGAGTTAACTGATTCATATGGATTTAGGCCTCTTTTACATTCTTAAATCAAGATTTTGAGGAGAATGTGAGTATCATCTTGCTAGAACAAAAACCAGGAAATTTTTTACTTACAAGGCCAATAAAGAACCGGACTGCTACATCCCCAGAGCGTACAGCCTCAAATTGCATCCAAGATCTTCTCAATGCCATACGGCGCTCGAAATTGTTTCCAGTGGAGAAGACCCCAACCAACATTTGAAGTCTTTTCCTAGTAATTGCAGGAGCTTTAAGTAGCTTGGAATTGACTATTAGATCATGATCTTCAGGAACGGGCAAGCCTTTGGCGAATACAGATAAGAGATTCAAGCCACCAGCAACTTTGACTCCGCTAGCTGACCATGGTTCAAGTTTCTGCATGCATGTGTATAATGGGACAATTTGAAGAATACAACTCCTTTGCATTTTTTATAGATAAAACTTGTATCTTACCTCCCTGTAAGCAAACGATGTTTCGTGCCTTCCATTTACAGTCATATGGAACCCCTCTGAACCAATCCATAACGTTGCCGTGAATGGATTCCCTTCAACAAATGGGAAATTAGCACTCGAATGACTGCTTCCCTGGGAAGCATTTGTCAAGGCATCACCACTAGAAAGACTTACATTCTGATTTTCTTCCATAGTGCTTCTAACGAGTTGTTCATTGCAAAGGCCAAGTCCATCAACTGCAACATGTGCTTAGATATCTTAGGTATCTGAATAGACGAACCATTTCATAAATACGAACAAAAGATAATTAATACAACGAAACAAGATGGTATGGAGAGGAAGTAGTACTGGAGTATTATCGTACAATTTCAGGAAGGAAAACAACTCATGAAATGAACTTATTTTAACATGCCCATTGGCACTTTCCGTTTTTCCTGCAGAAACGGTTAAGAGCAGAATGTAACTCGATTGCTGAACACAAACCATACCCTTTTTGCCCTCCAATCTTTCTCTTCAATCAAATTTTTGGAATAAAACGTAAGATGTCATAGTCTCACATTTGTTTAAGAACAAGATCATTCAAGCCAAGAAAGAGTTAGCGACTCATCGTATGGTAACTCGTGCTCGAAATTACTGATTGTTCCCATTTTAAATATCTCCATACTTAATGAACAACAGAAATTTTCCTATGTTTTTAACTTTTTTTGTATATCTCACAAGTAGATCTACCTAATAACTATATAGAACCAACAAACCAAGAAGCGGCAAACACGAGCAAAAGGCCGGATAGTCTATATGATGAGTCAATAACTATTAATGAATATGCATATACCTTTTATGTTATTGGAATATGGATGAGCAGGACACCTTTCCACTTTTCCCCAGCCGATTTCATTATTCCATGTATTTTGAGCTATAAATGGTTCTTCCGTCATATTATCTCTGGCAACACTAACATTGTAATGCAATAGAATAGGAGGTTTCGGATCCTCTGACAAGTTCAATCCCACAAGATCGATTTCAAAGCTCCGATAGCTCCCATTAGGGATACCAATCAATGTGATGGATGAATCCTCAACTAGACCACAAGGCAGTTCGAGTATATTTCCACCACTGAACAATGCATTGTTGAGGCTGCTTACGGAGAAAGGGCAATTTAGCTCTTTCGGTCCGATGTTATGACTAAGCTTGGTAGTTTTCTCTTCCTCAATAAAGGCGAGTAATTCTTTCCATGCCATAGCAGCCTCTTTAATCCCCTGAGCAGTTTCGGGTAAAGCATCAGACCTCGACAACAGAGACCGCATATGAGGCCACAAAAGCAAGACCTTCGACTCCTGTTGAGAAACATTACTCAGAACATACAAATCATTGAGCCCTTCAACATTGACAAGTTTGGGTTTCTTTATCAAGATTGGGTTCCTAGCTTCCACCTTGGGAGGTTCAGGGGAATCATTCCCCTTCCCACCAGCATCTTCGGCCGGATGGTTATTGAAGAACTCGTAGGCCGATTGCTTCTTCGTTCGAGTTTCCGTAGAGCTTGGTGGGTTTTCTCCAAGGCTAGGTTGGGTTTCTCTAAGGCTATAACTGAAAACCAAGACTATGGCAAGAACTACAATCAACACTCCACCATACCATTTCTTCATTTTGAATAACCCAAAAGCTAAACTTAATGATTTCATCACTGAAAAGTGAAAAAAGTGCAAAACCCTAATAACTCATCCCTCAATTCTTGTCTTCACCACTGTGAAAAGAAAAAAAAACATCTTTTAGCTGCAAATTACAAGGGAATGAACTGATCCGCGGAGTTAAATTTACAAGTAGGTTGTACGAACAAGTAATCATAGACAACAATTAATAATGTTGGTCATTTAAAAAAAAATTAAAAAAAATGTTGAAAAAATTATCAAAGAGGTACAAATGCTTAATGCTGCTGCATATGAGATCTAAGAAACAAGAAGCTTGCCTGAAACATGAGATCTAATAAACGTGAAGAGAACTCGACACTAAGAGATCCGAATCTTAGAAGCTTCAAGAGCTAAAAGGGATGGAAGGGAAGTTGTCGTTTCATTGCAAAGATTTCTTTGTGTTCTAAACTTCTGTTTCCCTGTCTGAAAGTGACAAACCATCGGCCGAAATTCTACTATTGGAACGCTGCGTTTGGAAGCCCTGATTAGATTATAAAGTTACAAGTTTTAATTGATATAATCACAACCATTTCATGTTTGACAATTGACATCAGCTTATAATTAATTTTATATAACATATTTCATATATTTTATTAAAACTTTTAAGGTTCGAAATGGAATCGAGTTAGGTTATATATCTATTATATCGAGTCCTCGAATTAAATTGAATTGTGTCGAAATTAAGATTAAGTGAGAATCATATAAGAACTTTTAATTTTTGGATAATGATTAAAATTATAATTTATCCTATCTCGTTGTCATTTCTAAATAAAATAATAATAAACTTTTCTTCTTCTTTTTTAAGTCCGAGATGCATATAAGATAATATATATTTAAAGATGCATTGCTTAAATCTGAAACGAAGTCCCTCAACTGTCGAACTCACATTACTTGTACATTGGAAAACTATTCTTAGCACAAGGATAATTTTAACTTTTCATGTCTGTGAGTTTTGCAAATTTTGATCATTTAATTTTTTTAAGTTAAATTTAATGTCAATCTTTTAAAATAATTGACACTTTTTAATATTAGTGACATTATATCTTATCTACTAATTTTTTTTTTAAAATTTAAAATATATAAAAGGTTATTTTTATTTTAAAAAATAAAAATATATTTTTTTATTAGAAAATAAAAATATAAAAAGAAAGGTTTTATATAATTTTTTTCTAAATACATAGGTATAAATTTATCCTATTATATTAGGTTAGATTAAATTAAAGATTTTTCAATCATAAACTTTAATCCAATTCTATCCTTCATAAAACTCAGTTAAAATCTAAACCTTTTCTTAAAATAATAATAATAATAATAATAATATAATAATAATAATCTTATAGAGTTAGATCGAGTCGAAATGGATTTATATAAGATGAATAAGCTATTAAATTATGCGAAGGAGAGTATTGGGCCGAGCATTAGCAGACCCAAGTTCTATCAATCGGTTCGTTCCGCTTCATATTCCTTGGCTTCGCCGGTTCTTCTAGTTTCCTGCTGCCGCTCTAGGTTTGATCTCCTTACTCATCGTCTCCTTCGAGTCATTTTTGTTAGTTCTTAAATCTTCACCATTTCATTGTTTTTTTTCTTTAGAATTTCGATTATCACCGTGGACTATTAATTTATTGCCATGTATATGAAGTATTTGATCAGATAAGAAGAGGGAAATGCCGTCTTTACAAACAGCGCTGCCTCCTGAGCTTGCTAACAATGCCATCAGGGTGAATAACCTTCCATTAACTTGAATTTTTTTAATCTTTTTATTTGAATTAATAAATAAACTGTAATGAAATCCATACTTTTTTATTCTTTTATTGCGGTTTAATGGTTGGTTTTTCAGCTTTACCGGGAATGTCTGCGGAGAGCTAAATATATAGGCCATAAGGTAACATCAATAGTCTTTCATAATTCTTCTGTTTTCTGTGCTCAGATGTATTGTTCACTCTATAAAAGTACTAAATTTTAACAATTTTGAGATCAGTTATTGTTTTATTTATTTGCTGCATAGTACTAAATTGCGGTCTCGGTTGAGATTGCGGCTGCGGTGTTGTGGATGTTGTTGCCAACGTCATGATTTGTTCCCTAAAAAAACTATGATTTTAAATTGCGGTTGCATGTCATGGTGACCTTGAAAAACAATATGATACGGCGTTGCGCTGCATTACAGCCACAATTTAATACCATGGTTTACTGTATAGTTAGCTCGAATCTCCTTGTTTTTTGGGTTTTGATTCCATATACTGTTAGCTTGATAATTGGTAAGATTTATCACAGAGGTGAATTGCTGGCTAGTTTTCATGTTACAGTTCAACCTAATTGAGGCCCTTGTAGTTCTATTCTCATCTTTCTTAATATGCTGGCTGTAGTAAGGGTCCATGGCAGATTCTAGATTCTATGTAGCTATAAATAGATCTTGAATTAGTAATTTTTTTAGATTTTATTTGCTTGGCTAAGGGGACTTTGCCTCCGACTTGATAGTTTATACTTCCGAGAGAAGAAAAGCAAGGACAGGATGAATATGTTTGGATTGCCACTGATGAAACTCGGGAAGTGCTTTGAAATGATGATGATGATTTAGTCAGAAGAGTTATATTGTGCGTTAACCGCTCTTATGTTGCCTTTTGATTGCTCATTCTATGGTTAGCACATACACTAATTGGCTACTAAACAGAAAACATCATGAAACTAAGCCCTTTACTTTCTTTGTTTGTGTCTAAATATATCGAGAACATATGGGAATTAACTTAAGCCAATAGTTAATTTACTTTGTAGCAACATAATACTGCACTGGTTGTCGATATGGTGAGGCAGCAATTCAAAAAGCATATGCACGAGACAGACCCAGAGAATAGTCAGAAACTGAAGGATGAGTAAGTCTTCATTTTTCTTGTTTCTTGCATTTTCGAACCATTTATTTGTGGTATATTACAACAGAATAATCTTTTTATCTCTTCAGCTAGAACTTTGAAGATATGCTTGCATAGATGTATTTGCTTCGTATTGAATTTCGACTCTTTCACGAACCTTTAGCATTGCTTTAAGTTCTGTTGATTGCTTTTGCAGTGCTGCAAGGGGACTGATTAACCACATTCTCTACGAGTCTGAGAAGCTGTCCGGAAGAAACTTCAGCAACAGCCCTTGATAGTGAGTTTTTATTTGATACATTGGTGTTACAGTTTGTTCGTGACTGCTCAACCAAGTAATAAAGAGGCTTGAATTTTGGGTTCCCTAATGATGTGATGCATCATGTCTTAATGGTAACAATTGTAATGCTATCTTATCTTCAGTAAAAGCAAAAGGGAACTCTTTGTATTAATAATTGAAATGCAAGAGGAAAAAGATTACATTGTTTTCCCAGTTATTCAAAGTGCAAGCAACCCCCCCTCCCGCCCCCAACAAAAAGCTAAAACAACTGTATTTTGAGTATTGATGGATTTGAAGCCAAACTTAGATAATTAAGGGGCTAAAAAGAACAGCAAGCAAAGGCTGACCTGGACACGTATTTATAGATTAACCACGCTGTAACAATGAACAATGATGATACACTCCGATTTACAACAGTTAACACTGCCACCATAACTACACCTGGCTTTCAGTATGTTCCAGCAAAAAAAATAAGACCAGTTAATCATGAGCCTCGGCACGACTATGTACCCTTTTTGGCAGAAATACCCCTCCATCAAGCTGTATGGGGTTAAGAGGAATAGCACCAACAGTTAGAACACCAGGTGATTCAGTAAATCTATCGACTTTTAATGTCACTGATCCTGCGTTTACCACCTCAACAGCATCAGCTTTTGTAGCAGCATCTGCAGAGAATTTAGACTCATCCTGGTTTGGATTTATGCCGAGACAGCTAATCTTCAAATTTGATGCATCATCTTTACCTTCATTCATTGATCTTGCATTTGTTGTATCCAAATCCGAAGAAACCCGCTGACTGGTTGAAGGAACAATTGTCCTCAACAGTCCCATATCACTTTCCTTGGTACTCTTATTTTCATTCAAAAGTAGCTCAATATGGTTTAACTTATTGGCAGGATCAAATGCAATTATAGGTGCTAGGACGGGACTCTCCATACTTTTAAATAGCTCCATGGCTCTCTCTTCCTGCATGATTCTCTGACGATTATCATAGTACATAAAGTCATCGAGTAGAGAGGTCTTCATAACGTGATTTTTGAATATTTTCAGCATATCCATACCTTGTTTGTACATTATCTGGCATTTGACATAACATTTTATAAGAAACAAAATAACATGGAGACCTAATAAAAAACCATAATCCTGGGGTAAAAAATTCAAAATTCACGAGTCCAGCTAGGAATGTTGGGCCATAGGAGAAAAGAAGTTTATAAGAGAATAGTAAACCAAGTTCAATATTTTATTGTTTCTTATAAAATTTTAATGTCAAATGCCAGATAATGTACAAACAAGGTATGGAGATGCTGAAAATATTCAAAAATCAAATTATGAAGACCTAATAAAAGACCATAATCCTGGAGTAAACAATTCAAAATTCACGAGCCCAGATAGGAATGTTAGGTCATAGGAGAAAAGAAGTTTATAAGAGAAAAATAAACCGAGTTCAATATTTTATTGTTTACCTTTAATTAGAGAAAGCTAAAGCTCTGAACATACCTTGTGTATCCCTGCTGTTAGTCACTGGCTTGTTTTCATTGTTCCCTAATATGATGTGTCTAAAATGGCTGTTTGGAGTATCTCTAATGATGTGCCATGTGACAGGGAAGCTTCCGCTCCACTTATTCTGCTGCCAAAAGTCCATATCCTTTTGAAAGTCAACTGGACCAATCATCTCGGCTACACCACAGAACTGTCCACTGGCATTAACCTGTGTGGAAAAAGTAGCATATTGTAGTTAATGAATATAAAAAAGTACATAGACCACCTCCGGTTAACAAACATAAAAAATGGAATATCAGTACAAGTCACCAAACAGGTACAGAACTCACAGAAAAGAAGAGGAAGATGGGTGGCTGCTGGGTTTCCCTGCATTTATTTTCTGTGCCTCTTCAAAAGCACGCTCCAGTTTCTTCTTCCCATGGGGTGTAGAAGACCAAACATTGTATTTAATACTCTTGTGTACATCATCCTCACTCTATGATTTTATTACAAAAAACTTTGCGTCAACATAGTCAACTGGAAAATCATCCTTGTTATATCGGTCAGTATAGATAATGATGTTTCCTTCAGCATCACTATTTCCTGCTTTACTTGTGTACGTTTTAACCACGAGTTGGTTTTTAGATCTGTTGGTTCTAGAACCTTGATTCTGTTCAGCCCATGTATCCGGGAAGCCATGTGGATTACTGAAAACCCTGCCAACATGGATCTTGGTTCGAAGTTTATCCGGAGCACCACATCCAGGTGCACTTGCTCCATAGTCAGAAATGGCATCACTAACTGGATGATCCGTTTTTAACTGATTATGGTGATATGGAAGTTTTCCACCAGGAATGTTGCAAAGGGGCTGAATGGAACCAGAAGCAACTCTAACCTACAAAGATAATTAGTGAAATGATATAACACGACCACCAAAATCAAAGACTTGTGGGTTTAGCAGAGAATTCTGAATCTGAAATCCAATACACCATAAATGTCATCGAAAATACAATTACATCTACACGAGAAAATGAAAATAGACAAGTCTATTATTAAGTTACAAGTCTCGAGCAAAAACCCTTTACCCTTCCCATAATTACATGAGAGAGGAGAAAAACAACTCATAGGAAAGCCAGTAGCACATATAAGAACAATAATTGCTTGACAATAAATGGTCAAATTAAAAGAGATGATGAAAAGATAATCCAAAGAGGGAATCTTATAAGCAAACCACACATGTCATGAAAGATGCTTATCTATCTCGGTTGGTCAAAACCAAAACCAAAGAGCCCCCCATGAAATCTCTAGACTAGGAAAACAAAAAATTAGAAGAAAACAGTAGAGAAAAACAAATGAAAAAGGAAAGCAATGGCATCCACAAGACTGAAGCAGATTCCATTTAGCAGGACCGCATGGGCATTCGTGGCATTGAAAATTTCAAATTCTTATATATTTTAAGTATTTTCTTTATATTTTCCATTAAAAATCTAATTTTATCCCCTAAACTTTTATAAATATGTCCCACTAAAATTTTATAAATTCATCCCACTAAAATTTTATAAATTCACCTGCCAAACATAAAATCTTATAGATTCGTCGTCTGGCATGAAATATTGTAACCCGTCACTGCATTGCTATTAGATTTAGGACTAGAAAGGGACCAAGAAACAACTTTGCAAGACTTGAATCAAATACCTTTCCCAAATACACGCATTTCATCAAGAGCAAGTCAATAAAAAAAGAAGCTCAGCCCAAACACTACAAAACCGAGCTGCAAATCTAATCTTGTAAGGAACAATAACAAGCTCTCTAGTTATAGTGAAAAGTTGGCTTAAACATCAATCAAAGCAAATCAAGATCCAGTGGATAAAAAGTACGAAAGGGGGCTTTACGAAGAGATAATTTTAACGGAAAAATCAACGATTTAAGCCTTAGTTGACCTGGAAAGTTGCTCCAAAGAAAATTCCTGAAATTTATAGAGAAAGGGATGGGTTTTCGGAGACATTTCCTTCAGATAGAAACCCTAAACCTAAAAAAAAAGTATATTTTTCAATGTATATGTGTATATATATCGAGAAGAAAGGGTAACAGGAGAGACTTCAAAAGGGCGGCAACCAGAAGAATAACGGACACAAATGGTTCCATTAATATCGAGATTGGCACTCACTTGCAACGTCGTCAGTTAGCTTTAACTTCTAGAGCTACCAGCTGTGCCGGTTTTGGGATGACAGCCCAATCGTGTGTGTCTCAGAATGGAAATAAAAAAAAATATTTTGCCAACGCCCGACGATGATTTATTAGAATGAGACTGGTCGGTGAGAGAAAGATGTAACATTTAAAACGAACATTTTATCCTGTAAAATCACTTTTTAACAATAATTAAAAATAGTTAAATTTTAATTGTATTTTTTAAAATATTTTTTTAACAATACTTTTTAAAATTATTTTTTAAAAATAATATTAAATTGAAACTCGAGTTGAAATTAATATGTTTGGTGAGGAAGAAGTGGGAGAATGTGGAGTTGGGATAAAATTCCATTGAAAAGATTTCTTCATTCATTTCTTTAGTAATGAATTTCTATGAGTATTTATTTTTATCTTTGTTTGTGGAAGAACAATAAATGAATAATGTATTTTTTTCCATTTAATAATAAATGTTCAAACACTTCCTATAAATGTTGATGCTCGAATCAAAGACCTCTAGAGACAAAAATCATTCATTCTTTAATCACTGTGATAACATGGTCCGTGCAAATAAATAATATATTTTAGATTTGATTAAACGCCTTTCTTTTTTAATGCTAACAATAATCAAATATGGGAAAATTCAATCCAATAGAAATTCATAAAAGTAACACAAGGGTTGAGTCTAGAGAGATTCTTTCTTCCCCCAACAACTTCCTTTTTCCAACCAAAAAATAAAATTCCTTTCTCATTCCCCCATGCATGCATGTACACACAAACACACATGCATACACACAAACTTACATATATACAAACATCACTCAAAGTAGATGAATGGAGACCTTTTTACAGGAAACCACCTCCACATCTCTTTCTCATCTTCACCTCCTTATTTTACGACATGTTATCCGGCACGAACCTCGACGTTTCTTTGGAAGCAAGGGTCGCTTCCATTAACAGATTCTCAGTTATGTCCCAAAGGTTTTTTTTGCAAGTTTGGCATCATGCGAAAGCTTTGAAGGATCCACACACCTACCTTCTCCACCAAAAAAGTATACCCCGGATACTTCCTGAGATTAACAGGTCATAAAATCAATAGTTTCGTGTGTTCGGAATGAGAAAGGTTCGTTACTTGATCGAAGTTGCAAACTTCAGCATGGGAGACTAACAATATAATTGAATTCATCATGAATTACTAATAGCATGGGAGACTAACAATAAACTTACAGGTGGGGCAAGGGCTGCATCAAGAATGGAGCTAATTCCATTCTCGGGTGACTGCAAAAGGCCGAACGGTTTGAGAACTTGAAACGCTAAATTCGAAAGACACAAAGGGACTTCCCTCATGATGTTGGTTCTTACACACCCAGGATCAGCAGCACTTCAAAAGCAAAACCAAACCATATCACATACCATAAAGCATAAACTGAAGCATAGATGCAGTAATAGGAATGATTTTCCAGATGAAGCATATTAAAGATGTTACGAAACCCATCAAAAGAGAAATGATAGTTCCAACTTTCAAATGTTTATCTTTTCTCTTCGAGAGAATACGTTTAATAGAAATCGTTTAAAAGTCTACTTTACAGAGACATGACAAGGTTGATCCGTTGAGCCGAGTTGCTGGTGGAATTCATGTGAGAAGAGAATCAGGAATACTGTTGAAACAAAATCATGCATCAATGATAGAATGGACATGAAAGATAATCACAATAATCTTCCATGATAAATAAGTTACATTTCGAATGCTCATAGATACGAGCACATGGATATTGTTCTGATATCAAGAAACGTGTCCCAGAAACCGATTCCTTGTCAACCTGTAGATTGAAAACTGAAGCAAAGTGCAGTAATGCAGTTATTATAGGGTTATCCTTCCCTTATTTTCCAAACACTATGCTTGGCAGAAGAATATTTCATATGGAGCATATAGAACGATACTCACCACATCAATGAGTAAAGGACGTAACATTAACTATCCGTGATGGAACAGGGCTTCTTTTCAGAAGAGGCAGTGTAAATTTGCTCAGACATAACGCTCCGATGTAATTTGTACCCATCATCCTGTGAAACACAAGTGAACTCGTAAGAAGGAATTCGAGGACTGAAAAGCGACATTGCAATAACAAGAACAAAACAGCAATTTGATGTTAATCTGCACTAGCAAGTAACGAGAGGTAAAGAATATTATACACTTGCACCAAGATGCAGCATCAAAGCTAGAATATTACTGATCATAGCCTTCAGGTGTGATTCGCGACGATGTTGCCAGTATCCCGGCATTGTTAATCAAGAGCTGCACGGAAGAATGCATATTACACTCCGAAAGTCACCGCTGAAGCGAGCTTTTGAACTCCAAAATCGATTGGAACGACAACAGGTCGACCACAAAAGCTTTGACAAGGGCATCTTTGCTCTGGACTTTTATCTATGTTACAATCTAACCAACAAGAGCTAAAACCAAAATGATAGAGCATTACAAATGAGAGGCCACATACAAAATAAACTTGCTGTGTATAAATCCATACACCTTTGATAACAAACGGGGTGATCGTCCAACTGCAGAAACAAACATAAACAAATGTAATTAGCAATGATAAGTCGGGTTAAGTATTTGATTGAGTCAAGACGAGTAAAAAAATATAGAGTTATCCAAGTTGATGAATCCAATTTTATAACTCAAACTTTATTTGAAATTTGTTCGAGTTTCAGTTTAAATTTAATTATAAATATTAATAATGTTATCGTACTAATTGATTATAATTTAAACTTTTTATAACCATATAAGATATATATATTTATTTATAATTTTTCCCATATGTGAAATATATATATATATATATTTCATACAGAGTTGAATCTTGAAAAGTAATACACTAATTATTGAAAATGAATTATTCGAGTAATATTTTATAACTCAAACTTTATTTGAATTATTCGAGATGCACTCAATTGAAAGCAAATTAAAAGTAAATGAAAGAAGTGATGTGCAGATCAGAGTACCAAGAACAACATATAAACCTTCCCGTGAAATAGCGTATGCAGCAGCAGCTCCTAGTCTTGATGTAGCCTGCATCAATGAGTGAATGAAACAGACAAACACTTCAAGCTAATAATTATCCAGGAAAGTGAGAACATGTGAAAACAGAGAAGACTTACGCCTGTAATGACGCAAACAGGGGTTAGAGACTCGGAGATTGGAGGAAGACATCGAGGGTAGGATTGGGCTCGGCGGGAAAATATCCTCTTGGTGAGTAACCGGAAGTATGGAATCAAGAGTGAGATTGTCCAAAACACCGCCATTCTCCAAAAAATAGCGGACGCAGCAAAACGGAGAGCTTCCTTCATCATGTTTTGCAGTGGAATAGAGAAGATGGACAGAGTTTCTTTGAGACAAATTGTCGAACACTTCATACTCGACTTTTGGGCAAACTACTTAGGCACCCAACTTTCAATATATTCTGTTTTATTATCTAATTAAATTTGGGGTAAAGTAAACAAATGGCACTCCAGTTATAGGATATTTCTTTTTTGAGTCAATTAACTATTAAAAATTATGAAATGATCCTTCATCTATTAATCGTTGTTTTGTGAGGTCCATAGTTGCTTAATTTTTTTTTGTTTTTTCTTCCCCCTTCCTTTTTCTGATGTTCAAAACCCTAAATGTTGGCAGAGAGGTAAGGGAGAGAAGGCGGGAAAAAAAATATAGTTTTCGGGGAATATAAAGAATCATATTTTGTAACTTTCTAAATTTAGTAGTTTAAAAAATTATTTTTGCATTATTTATGCATTTTTTAACAAAAAAAGAAAGGGGTCAAATTCTACATTTAGTCCTTCTATTTCATTCACATACTTCAAACTTAGAAAAATGATCATACTGTGATCATGGCCCTTGTGCATAAATAAAAATTTAATTGACAAAACACATGAAGAAGTATATTTCTTAAATTATAAAGATAATATACTATTATTTTTTAGTCACGTACTTTTTTTGTTCTAAATCAGAATCTAACTAAATCTAATCTTATCTTTAAAAATATTTAAACTTATTCGAATTTATTTTTTAAAAGAAACCAATCCTATAAGATCAGATTCCATCAAAACACATCAGTTCAATCAAATACCCATCCTAAGCAGAAATCAATAAATAAATTAAAAAAAGGAATAAAAAGATTAAAAATTAATAAGACAAATAAAAAACCAAAGTAGCTGTTAAGTGGTTCGGTTATTACATATGCTCTGAACATGTTATGGGCAAAGATTAAAAATTTGAATAGCTCAGGGTATCATCACACAAACGCCACACAAACTACGGCCTGCTACAATCAGTTACAACAAAAAAGGAATTGCACAAACGGTTCAATCTCCTCGCTCTCCCTCGTATTTCTTCATCCGCCGTCGGTCCGCTTCATTCTTTCGCGGTCTTGGGTTCCTTTCGAAAACATGACTTTATCAGCCACACTGGAGATTTTGAGTAGAAGATTTTCTCACCTTGGTACAAACATAGATGTAATGAACATCGGGGTTCTTTCCGAGTACATCTTCCACCGAGCTTCCACTCTCGTCCAACGGAATTGGGTTTTTCAATTCCCTCGCTTGCTGCTCAGAACTTCCTTCCGGTCCAAATTTTGCTGCATGATAAAGACCTACATTAAAAGCACATCATACATGCCAGGCTGCTATATATGGAAGACGAAACTCATTTAATAGGCTCAAGGATCTAGTCAAGTCTCGTAGCTTCTGGTCTAATCTCGGGAGATATCGACATTTGTAATTTTCGGCTTTCAAGCTGTACAGTAAGAGAAGTTGAAATATAAACTTTCTAAACCTAGCTTCCATCTCTCGTCCTCCACGGCTTGTGGCATTCTTTCTTCTACAACAATTCATTTCATAGGAGGGATGATGAGAGAATATGCATTCAGATCAACTAAATAACCGTATGCCATTTTTTTCATTTCCCTAACAAGCTCTAAGTTGTCGTGATAACTCGGCAATCTGCACCCGAGATTTTCGATTTGAGGTCTCGAGCTCAAACCTTGGGAAGAGAGGTAAATATTACGGGATGGGAGACAATCTCCTACCATTGAGAAATCAAATGCAGGCTGTCTATTATATATAAGGTAATTACTTCAGCTGTCACAAGGACTATGACAAACATGCAAAGAGTTCGAAATCAAAACAAAGCAAGAAATGTAAGGCATCGACAACGTAATAACCAGAAAGGGGAATTCAATCAACCTATCACATGTAGTTTTATGCTCCAAACGCACGACTCTTTCAGCAAGGCGGGACGATACACCGGAGCGCCATACGTGATCTGCAGCACTTGCAAGCAAGCAGAAAATTAATTGCGCGCGCACACACACACACGGAGATTGAAATCCGAAAGCAGACAACTCGAAATCCATTCCCACACAAGCAGAAGAGAAATTTAACGCAAACCGGAATAAAAGGCGAGAAAAGTTACCAGAATATAGACTCCTTTATCCTTGAGGACCCTATAGTTTTGTTATCAACTGCTTCAATATATTGTGAATAGATAAAGATAACCCATAAAAGGAAAAATTACAATGTATACAAGTCTAGTAACTCTTTCAAAGATGATTATATACCTCCAGATTTCGTCGAGCATTTGCGCCGCATTCTGCCTCGAATTATTCCCACACTGCAACATAAAACTTCCCCATCAGGATATTATAATAAAAACCGGATCGAAACAACACAATAAAACTCACCAGGATAGAATCAAGGGTCCCTGGAAATCACAGATTTGAAATTAGAATCAGTTTAGAGGCCAACGATCATTGAAATAACAGAAACTAAAACAAAATCAATACCTTTATCAATAACAGCATCAAAGGAACCAGATTGAAAAGGACTCATATCTCGTACATCCAACTTAATATCTGCAACAAAACATAACAAGAGCATGTAAAAAAACATATATCTTTCTGTAAGAAAAAATGTTGAATAATTGAAGAATATTAACACACATTTCAGCTGCTGCCAGTTGGAGTACTTGAACTGCATGGCATCGATGACAACAGAGGATATATCGACATTGACAACATCCCCATACCCATCGTTGACCATCTCTTCACTAAAAACTGCAGAAAAAAGTGGAGATTTGTTACATAAAAACGAGAGATCTGAAATAGGGTATGGCTAGATTCATGGTTTGTGGGTAGTCGACACCTGAGTTACCGCAGCCGACGACGAGAACACGGTGGTGGCGGAGGGGAACATAATGGCGGATAAGGGGAGTTAAGGAAGGGTACTTTTGGTACCAATCAAAGGGAGCAGATTCATTGGCGTAGCGGTTGTCCCAGTACCATGGCTCACCGTAGGCTTGAGATGATGGTGGTGTCCCAATGGTCATCGTGTTTTTCTGCAACAAACTAGATGAAATCTTGAGTTTTGTTCTTTTGGGTTGAGAGAGAGAGAGAGAGTTATTACAAAAATGTTTGAGTTGATGAGGTTTGTCGCAGGAACACCGTGGAGCCTTGGGCCATGTTTAATGTTTTTAGTTTTTACCATCATCATCACCATCTCTGTCTATCCAACACGTGTACTCGTTTTGATCCACATGCCTCGAAACTTGTTCGGTATAGTAACATTTGTGACAAACTCAAATTCATTAATTGTCTTAATGTCTTTGAACCAACACCATGCTCATGTCATTGTGATGTGTAACAAACAAGCCTCACATTCTCTTACTATTTTTATTTAAAAATTTTGAAATTTTAATTAGTCACGAGTATTTTTGATCAAGTTCAATCGAACCAAAAGAATTTTGAGTTTATTAAAATTATGAGTATTATTGTATTATTTAAATTTTTTTGAGTTGAATTGAATCAATATATTTATTTATTTTTAACTTTCTACACATATAAAAAAAAATTTGTAATGTTATTTAATTCAATATTTTCTAAAATTATATACTAATATATTTATAATTTTTTTGAAAAATATTTTAAGGACAAAGTATTTGTAATATCTTAATTTGATTGAGTCGTTTGATAAAAAATTTAGTCTAAGTCGAGAAACTAAATCGAAACAATTGAACATTTACCCACAACGATATCTACCATAAAATCTAAATTTTCTTAGATAATTATATATTTTATTGATTGTTCTCACCTAAAATTTTATTTATGTTTATCCCATATAAAATTTTTATGTTATTAATCTATATGTGTCCACCCTTAAAATTATTTTTGGATCCGTCACTATTTATTTAAATCATCCCTTACAAAAAAAGAAATTAATTAATAAAAAAACATCTATTAACAAAAGGATTTAAACTATTAATATTTTAAAGATGGTGAATTATTGATAATTTTATTTACTCAAATCATCCCTTATAAAAAACAGAAATTAATTTACATTTATTGATAATAAGAAATAACATCTATTAACATGAGGATTTAAACTATTAATATTTCAAAAATGGTGGGTTATTAATACAAAAAATCCTCTATGAATATCGACATCAACCATTTAGATATTAAAATCTAGCATCCACTATTGATATTAAAAAGGTGTTTTGAAATATATATATCAATTTTAAACTAGTACGTTTCAAAAATTAGTACTCCAAGTTAATATAATTACAATTCTTAACATTTAAGCAGTCTAAATTTGGAACATTTAAAATTTTGGAACCAATTTAAAATGAAGTTATAGTCTAGAGATGAAATTAAAAAATTCAAAAATGTAGGACTAATTTAAAATAAAAGTCATAATTTAAGGACGTATAGTATAATTAACTCGACTCCAATTGCTAGGAAACTTAAAAACCTTAATTACTTGATGCTCCATCTTTCATTCAACAAGCAGAGAATGGATGCTTGTTGATTTGTCACAAAATCCTCTCTAAGCCAAGGATAAGTTTATGCTTCAAGTTTGGAATAACACTTTCAACTCTCCCATGCATTATATATATATATATATATAGCAAATTAACCTTAGTTGATCCTACAACTACAACTAGAAAGCTGTGTTTTCAAAGATTTTGTACCCGAAAATGACCACGGCTAACTCGGTCGACAGTAACTCAGACGGTACGTATCCTTTTATGCGTGCAATTGATGTTGTTCGGACTCTTCATCTTTCATGAAGTATCGGTGTCTGATAAGTGCACTCGAGTTTGAGTAACATAGCATGCAACTGCAAGTATGCAATGCCTGGTTTAGTGTTTTTCATTGATTTCGGATTATATTCACTAGCTATTCTCATTGCAGATCAAGTTGCAAGATCTATATCAGAAGCAGCACCCAGACATTACATACTAAAGATAATGTCGTTTTCTTTCCTCGCAAAGACCGGCATCGAGAAATACGAATCCGGAGAGTTTGATGCCAGTGGATACAAATGGTATCGGTTATTTTCTTCTATATAATTTAATCCATATGTTCATCAGAGCTTCGATAGCCTCTCTGATTTGTGTACGGCCACAGGAAACTGGTGCTGTACCCACATGGAAACAAGAGCAGAAATGTGAAAGAACACCTTTCTCTCTACTTGGTTTCTGCAGATGTCGCTTCCCGAATCCATTTAGATTTGGAAGTCCACGCGGTTTTCCGGTTTTTCTTGCTCGATCAGACCAAGGACAACTACTTGATTGTTCATGGTATTATTACAGTTTCAAAGCATTAGTTGCATACATATATGGGATGAGATGCTTTAAAAATGATGTTTGAACCTTCCGGCTTTTCGATGCCTAGATGCAACGGGAAAAGACCGGCGATTCCATAGATCGAAGCATCAATGGGGCTTTGATCAGTTGATTCCGATTAGAACTTTTAATGATGTTGGCAATGGATACCTACTGGATGACAGTTGTGTGTTTGGAGCTGAAGTGTTTGTTACCAAGGAAATGAGCTCAGGGAAAGGTGAATGCTTATCAATGATTAAAGATGCCATAAGTTCCAAGCATGTTTGGAAGATTGAAAGCTTTTCCAACTTGGATTCAGAATACCATGAATCTCAACAATTTTTTACTGCCAATCATAAATGGTATTCCATTTATTTCCTACTTCTATCCAATATTCTCGAGATTCTCACGACGACCGGTAAGATACTATCACTTCCTTAGGTTGCATTACACCGACATCCTGACAACAAGCTGGTATTCTTCTCAGGCATCCCATGTCTCTCAAGCCTTAAGGGAATTGTGGGGTGCTCAAAGAGGAAGATACCAGCTTGCGCAAGCGTGACGCAACCTAGGGGAAGCGATAGTACCGTGCCAGTCGACGGATCGTGACGGATTTTTAGTGATATTTCAAGGGGCTTTTTCTTCACCTTCATGATGCAGGACAATACAGCTTTTTCCCAAAGGAAGAAAGAATGGATCAGGCACTCATATCTCTATATATTTGGCTTTGGTAGACTCAGACACACTTAAGGATGGTTCTAAAATATTTGCAGAGTTCACTTTGCGTATTAAAGACCAACAACAGAGTAGAAACATCGCTGGAAAAGGTTTAAAACCCTAAATTATATATATATGTATGTATGTATGTATGTGTGTGTGTGTGTATGAAGCTTAAAGTTTTGATTTTCTCTTGCAGTTAGTCATTGGTTTAGTGAATCAAGCCAAGAAAGTGGGTGGGAAAATTTTGTTTCTCTGGCTTATTTCCATAATACGACCAGTGGGTGCCTAGTGAATGATATGTGCATGGTGGAAGCAGAGATAACTGTCCACGCCGCTGCCAATACATTGTAACCGATGTTTACTATAGTGATATGACCTTCAAAGATCCTCCGAATATATCGAAAAACTTGGAAAAATATAACCATGCCCGTGTTGAATACATACCTATACCCGACGCTCAAAATGAGTTCGAGTAACATTGCTATTAGCAGAACTAAGGCTGCCATTAGCTCCTTTTTCCCCTTCTGAATCCACAATTGTAAACATTATTTCTATTTAAATAAAGTTACATTATTTACAGATCAATGGGTTAAATTGAGCTATCAACAATTGGAACAATGCATACATACACATACACATACACATACACATACACATACACATACACATACACATACACATACACATACACATACACATACACATACACACACACATACACATACACATACACATACACATACACATACACATACACATACACATACACATACACATACACATACACATACACATACACATACACATACACATACACATACATTCAATTTTAAAGATAGAGATGAGAGTTTTAGCCAAAAGTTTTCTCTGTGCTATAACACATGTAGAGAAACATCATCTTTGAAAGAATTATAGACAGACCCCATGAGATTTGCTGCAGATGTTCAGTGGTTGAAATTATAAAACGAAAAAAAGGGGTCAACAAATTCTGATTAAACCGATCGATAAGCAAGAATCATCCATGAATGCAGATTTTCTTTTACCTGTTTGAGGCAATGTGATGTTCACGAAGACAAAGAGAGCTTTTCCAGGACTCAACTGCAGCCTTCTACTTAGAATATGTATGAACTGACCCAACGACATGTCTCGAGGAACCAAAAACCTTGAGAGTCAAGAAAACAGGATAGTTGCAAGAAACCAATTAATAACATTCCTCAAGCTTGGTGTTCAAACTCTATTGATAAAGAAATGAAAAGAAAAGAAGAATAGAATACTTATTATTCTCTGTATCTGGAGGTCTGTCCTTGAATATCTTTCAATGATCACCTGAATATAAACAAACATATGATAGGCAGGCAAAAAGTGATAAACAATCACTTTAGGTGTCGCTCTAAACAACGACACGACTTCACAGTTTTGTACCCGGACAAGAAGAGAGCCTAGGGGTGCCTCTACACCATGTCTGCTATAGAGCTTTGCGCCCTTAGGCTCTCTTCATAACCAGTAACAAAGCCGGAGAGTGCGCGACTCTGACGAGAGCGTCGGGGTACCTTTCGCCCTTAAGCTCTCTCCGTAACTGGCAATAAACCCGGAGAGTGCGTGGCTCTTTAATAGGCATTTTTCGGCACAACAACATCCAAAGAGAACAACTCCTAGCTCGTATAATGTTTCACACATCAACAAACCATTTCCGGACCAAAATTTGTTCAATCAGAGATTGTAATAGACATGACCATATTGCAGTTCATATGCATATCTCAAATACACCTAGTGCAAACTGCAAAGCTTTAGAATGCATTAAGGCAAATATATAATTCAAACTTACAGGAACTCGATCTGGGTATTTGGTTAAAATAGTTTTTGATTCTTCCTGTCGTTGCTCTGCAAATATAAACAAAAAACAATCAAAATCCTGGAAATTCGACGATAATGTCATCTCCAAAATACAATATCTGATTATTAAGAATTACGAGTCTATCAAAATATTTACCAAGTGATCTCTCCTTTAGAAAAGGCTGAGGCTTCCCCATTGGCTGATCCTTTGTTTATGACTCTGACAAAACCCAGAGTTTTGTAAGAAGAAAGGCAAAAAGACAGAGCAAATGTTGCCTTTTCAGCTTGACATCTCATTCGGTTAAGAGACCGCTTTCAGTTCAACCAAACTAGTACGACATCAATTTTCAGGGTAAAAGGTCTAATTTTGATTTTAGTCTCTATACTATTCTATATTTGAATTTAATCTCTCTACTTTTAATTTAATGTAATTTGGATCTCTATTTTTATAATGTTCCATATTGATCACATCTGGTTAGTTTTTCTCATCAAAGTGACGCAACATAATTTGTATTTTTTGTAATAATCTAGGGTGATTTACAAGGTAATATCTATTTAGATTTTTTCTTAAAACACAGTGACACATCATATAGACGCAACTACTCAAACTTGGGTCCTCTAGATAGAACAACATATTTTATTTTTCAAATAATCTTAAACATTTGATTGACGTGAGATATTGGTAAACTCTAATAATGAAACCAAATAAAAATTAAAAATATTATTAATTTAATAAAATAAATATACATGCTATCAACTTGGATCTATGATAATGTTGTAAAAGTAGAGGATCAAATTATGTTAAATTAAAATAGAAGAATTAAATTTTGAATTTCAATATAGTAGAAACCCTAAAACCATATTAGACCAAAAAAGTAGTAAGTGAATAAATAAATTTTATTCGATCAAAGAAGTTGTTGGAGCAAATAATCATTTGCATATGCCTCGTTGCCTGCTTAATCTATAAAAAAGCAAATGGAAGTTGTTCGATCAAAGAAGTTGTTAGGTGATTTTCGGGCCAATTTATTTTTAGGTCCTTTTAGTTTTAAAACTAAATAATTAAGTCTCTACCTACCATTTTCTCACTTAAAGACTTCTTTCTCAGGTCCATATCAATTTCAAAAATAAATAAATTACACCTTAATCACCTAATTTTTAGATTTTTAAATTGATGATTTAATAATTAAATTTTGACTTCTATTTTAGGCTTAATATAAAAAATTATCCAAATTATACATCTTTTCCCATTTAGATACATAATCTAAATATGACACGTGGATCCTTTATAATTTTTTTAGAAAAACTTATTATTATTTAAAAAAATCAAAATATTTCTAAATTCTTAAAAATTTCTCAAAATCCTTAACCCCAAAGCATCCACCCCACCCACTGTCGACGACCGCCGCTTCCACCGCCATCGGCCGCCGCCTACTCACCCATCGTTGACTGTCAATCATGGCTTCAAACCCCAAAATTCCTAAATCTAAACACTAAATCCTTACATTATAACACTCATCTATCCCAATCGATGGGTAAGTGATCGAAGAGTTGGTGGCCGACGGGTGAGTGGGTGGTCGCCAGTGATGGTGGTAGCCGGCGTCAAAATTAAAGGTCTTGGGGTATCTTATGGGGTATTTTATGGAAAATAGGAAAAATTGGGTTTTTAAATTTTTTATGAATTTTGTTTTTTTTAAATTAAAGAAAATAAAAAATCCAAGCCACATGTCAAATACTGAAATATTGATTGGTTGACATATTTTTAACAAAAAATTTTGATGGCCATTATGGCGTAGACACCTAAATGATAACATTGAAAACGTTGAACACCTAAATTGACCCCCAAAAAAATTAGAAACCTAAATAAGAAAAGAAATATAGTTTAAATAATTATTTTTATATTAATCCTCTATTTTATTACTCTTTAAATTTACCTTGGAAAGTGTCGTCCTCGTTCCGTCCATGATAATAACTCGAATACTTTTTATAGAAAAATCATTAGTATTGTTGTTCAATACATAAATATGAGGATATCGTGCATGTTCTCAGCAGCCTGTGCTGTGTACATTGCAGAATAAGATGGGTACAGGGACAAAGGAGAATGGGACATAATTCCATACATTTCCCTGCAGTCTTTCATGTCTGTTTTAATATTAATGTTCGGAATTCGTAATTGTTTCTTTTAATAATGTGGTCTTCATATTGCACTCCAACACTGGGTGATTTGTATGTTATATAGCAAGAATTGAGTTGTTCTTCTCCTTCTTGAGTGATGTTAACAAATTCTTTTATCTTCTTGATGGCGTTGCTTTCACTGGCGAAATTCGATGATAGAGTTTGGAGGGGTCAACTTAAAATTTTAAAAAATTAGAAGTTTAAATTAAGATATTTAAAAATTTTGAAGGGTTTAGTTTATATTTTTTTTCAAAAAAATTAGGGTCTAACTACAAATTTTAAAATATTGAGAGACTTAATGAGAATTTTTAAAAATTATTGGAGGGGATTTAATTAAGAACATTAAAGAATTTAAAATTTAATTTAATTTTCTATAAATTTTAGGAGGCCAAAATAATTTTTCTTTTTAAATTTAAAGATCAGAATTAGAATTTTCTAAACTTTGGGGGGGCATGCCCCCTCTAATCCAGTTTGTGTTCTTCCCTGGTTGCTTTGTGTTAGTATTGTAATATTACATACATGGCTGTCTTCTTTGTGTTAGTACTGTAATATTACATACAAAGTTAAAAGCATAATACTAAATAATACTAAAAATGTATTCTAATATTTGATTAAATAATTATTTTTATTTAGATTATTTTTAAAAATATTTTTACTTCAACGTTTCATTTTGAGACAAAATATCTCATGGTTGAATGAAAACTAATAATTAACAA